CTGTGTCCATGAGATAGCGAAGGCGCTTCTCCACCAGCGCGGCACGGGTGTCAATTTGCTTTTGCTCATTCTCTAGTGCTGCCAATTCTCCTACAACATACTGACTGGTGTCTTTGAACCCTTTCTGTTAAAGAGAACAAACAAGAAGAAAAAAACATCACTTGTAAGTTGCATTTCTCCTTTCCACAAACACTTAGTAAGGCACTTACCTAAACAACCAAATATCATGCTCGCTACCAAAAAGCTAACACTTGCATTTCATAAACTTTACAATTTTGCCAAATGTCCTTATTTGTTTATTAAAACACCCTGGTTTTTCCTTAGGGAATGTTTCATTTTGCAGTTTTTTTACTACCTGGCTAGCTTTTGCAAATTCCTCTAATTTATTTCTAAGTACATAAAAGCTGCTGTAACCAAGCATAATGAAAGGAAGTGTAATCCAAATAAAGCCCTATTTAACATGCCAGTTCTACTCCATTCAGGTCTTATTCAATTTTAAACCGCTAACTTTAGGGGCTAGAAGAACCAGAGTCTCTAATGACAATTAAAAGGTGGGCTTTTGAGATGAAAACCAAACCTGAAACAAGCTGCCTGGCTTGTTTAGCTCCTCTGGGTCAACTGCAGTGCAGGGGCTATCATGCCTCGCTGGCTTTCTCCGACTGCAGGTAATTACCCTGCTACACGGCGATCTGTAAAAATACTGCTAATTACACTCAACTGCGATTCTTATCCTGAGAAGTGGTGACAAATGGCACCAGGTTGATGCTCAGGTGCACGGGGATGAACTCAAGCTGTCCTGCCTCACACCCAGCCAGCCCTGGGATGCCAAGTTGATAAATCACTTTGAACCTTACCAAGAAAGCTGTGGAAACACTAACGAGTCATGTTTGCCTCCTGTACCCTATAACTTTTCAACATTGCCCTGCAGGTGACCACACACATCTCCCAATATTTCCAAAGCAGTTTGCCTCTCTCACTAAGAGCCCAAGAACAGTTCTTTAGTACCTCCAAGTTATTCTCACGTGATTTAACATCTTTCACACAATGTTTTGGCTGTACTGAGGTATTATAGTCTGTATACAACGCTGAAGTATCATTCTTATAAGTCAGGAAAAAATATTACTCCTTCCGAGCAACCCCATCCATTCCTTCCTCCAACACCCATCCCAGAGCCTTGGAGAATGGTTTAATTTGGGGAAAAAAAAAAAATAGTAAAATTATTTAATGTTTCATCTGCACTCTGGAAAGGATGCAACAAAAATCACTGTCCTTTGGGGAGAGAAAAATATACAGGTTTTTTTAATGAGGCTTATTTCCCTCCTAGAGGCTAACTTGTTGCTGCGTAAGACTCTCAAGATACTTTCACCAAACGTTTTCAATTGTTTTTCTGTAAGTGTGTCTGATATGATCAGTTCAGTTCCATATTCAGGCAACAGGTATAATAATCACATCAGAATATTATTTCAAATAAAGCCATGTTCAAAGTGAAGGCTAATGGCATGGCTGAGCTCCCAGGACCAGTAACGAGCACAGAACTCTGAAATCTGGGGCGTGTGAATTTAAGCACATTATGCCCCCATTAATTTGGTCCTTCTCTTCCTACACTACAGCCAAGAGTATCAGCTCTAATGGAAACCCCTCTTCTACCTGTTGTATAGCCAGAAAAACACTAACAAAACTACCTGAGAGCAGTCCCTGAAGAAAAATAATAATAATAAAAAAAAATTGGTCTGGGGAGCTGAGGTGATGTGCAATATATTGCCTTTCATCAACTACCATCAATTGAAAATAGTATAAAAACTTCCCTAATGTCAGCGTGCATAATTGTTAACAATTGTTATTAGAAGATGAAAAGAAATGCTGTGTCAGGCTGAAATATCCCAAGAGTTCACATGTATCATCAGCATATATAATGTGAACTTACTGTGCCAGACCTTTTCAGCTCTGCAAAAGTACAACTGGGCTAAAAAAATAACTCCGGCTCGTAAAAAGTTCAACATTTTGGTGCAGATACAAAAGTGCTACTCAGCTCTAGATTGCTTCAGCAAAAACGACCAACGTGCTCAGATAAATTGTGGAGAGGAACAAGTGACCACCATCAAAGGCTGTGTTGTGTTTTCAGACAAAAAAAAAAAAATAATTCAGGTTAGAACTTGTTCTTCCTGCTTCTGTCCTGCAGCTGTCCATCAAAACCAGCTTTCTCCCTGCGGTCTATCAAATATTTCCCTCACAAATCAATTTTACACATGATCAGCCCATACCCCTACTGAGCTGAACCTCCCCGTTAATTAAGTGAAGAAATTACCATATATATTATATTAATGCAAACATCATTCAGCTAGTAATTCACGGCTGATCTGGATAATGGAAAGGTTGAACACCCATTAACCCAAGCCAACAAAATGGGTTGGCTGAGAAATTCTAGCAGGTCTCATGTGACTCTTCCCTCTAACTGCAGCTCTGCGGTATCTGCTATTGTAATAATTAAAATCCTCCCGGTAGATCAATACTGGAATCTCTTTATGGGAAGTGCCCTGATGGAAATGTCTCAAGGAAGCTGGGGCTGTGGAACTCTGAAAAATTCATTTTTTTTTATCTGACAATTATCACCACACTGCAGACTAATTCAACAGTGCACCCCTCTCACTCTGCTTTGAATGCACTGGAGATTGACATCTAAAAAAACCTAACATCTCATTTTAACAAATAAAGGCACTATTTCCACATACAGTTTGGAATTATCAGCAATCATGAAACCAGACAAAAAATTAATATACATTAAGCACTTCATCTTCTGATGGCTTCCTCTGAGTCTCAGTTATCGCAGCCTTCTCCTCATTTCCTCTCTTTGTATCTTCCTGTATTGATCTCTGCCTTTTCATCTCTTGAAAAAAAGGGGAAAGACATGTAAAATTATTATAAAGCTTGATATTTATGTATTGAAACGTGGACTTACATTATCGGGTTTTCATATATTTATTGTTAAATATTATTCAGTCATAAGATGGGAAAACAGGTTTTATATTTTCTCCTACCTGGTCTGCTCTCCACGTATTGACTGAAAGACTGGAGCTGAGTTTTTCTGACGGTAGAGTCTTTGCTGAACACAACGGGATTTCTAAACCGTTCTGCGGCTTTTTGTAATCGCTCAGCACGATGTTCCTCTGTTCCATTCTGCTAGGGGAAAAAAAAGAAACCACAAACCAGACACACAACAGTTTCTTTTGTTTACAAATGGGAAGACACGAATTCGAAAGGTGCGTTTCAGCGAGGGGACAGGGCGCAGCTTTTACAAAGAGGATTTCACAACTCGGGCTGTAGTTTATGTGGGATGAAAGTATCAGCTGCAGAAAAAAAGAAGAGTGATTAACTTTTTTTTTTTAAATAATTTATTGTCTGGTGGCAATGACTGTTTTTTTCCTATGTGAGCCCCCTCCTGCAAGACTCTCGACTTACTTAACAGCCAGATCTATTAATTGTGACTGGCATTTGCCAGCAATGCTGATATTAAAAGGAAAAAAAAAAACAAAACGAAACCAAAATCCCTCCTTTTGCAACTTGGATTTGCCAAGCGCTGCGCACGCCGCTGCCAAGTAGCGGCGTCTCTACCCCTGCACACGATCTGTATCGTTTTAAAAGCGTGTTCCCTTTAGCCTCTCTCCCTGCCCAGGAAAGAAATCTGTCGTTTTCTGTAGTCCCACAGACTTGTATGACAAGAAGAACTAGTTTCTAATTTTATGCCCATTGAGATAAACCACTAATGCTGGATGAAGGCTAAAAGGTAGGATTATACTACTACCCCACTGAACTGCATTTCATCAGCTATAACTTTCCAAAGCCAGATTTGTAAGTAAGCCCTTTACAGCGAAGGAAACGACAATTATCTTTTCCAGGGCTTCCTATGTTAATACTGGTAACAAATTCAAATGGTTCTATCAACACGAAATATCCCAGAAGACCGAACCACCGCAGTGTGTGGAAACTGCAGATACCGAGGTGCTGTGTACCAAACAAATATTTCATTTTATACCTAATCTTTTATTATTTTTATTAAGTGTTTTGAAAGTAAATAGGGAAAGGCTAAGATGCATGACTAATAGCTAAGCCTGCTGAATGCTGAAACTGGTTATCAAAAGCTACCAAGACTTTGCCCTTCCTCTGCATTGAGACAATCGGTAATGAGGGAGTTCTCCAACCGCCTATTCTCTAGCCTCAAGGAGGCCGGGGATACACAATCCCCCCGGGAAGGTAACAGTTTATCCTTTTCCACAAACACAGAATGCCTCATTTAGAAACGTGTAAACTGCATTTTATTAAAAAAACAAATCCACCTCAATGCCGAGAGCTCCAGGAGAACAGATGGACACCATCTATTCCTTACAACCCTGCTTTCCAACTCTTCCGTAGCAAGACGGATGCAGAAAGAAACTGTTAAGTTGCACCTTTTGTGGGAGCACCTTAAAAAAAAAAACAAGCAACGCCTTCCTGGAGGCTTTTCATAAAGAGAAATACCATTTTTGGCAGGTTAGGTGACACAGAATTACCCTAAGAGGCAGTCCATGTGTCGTTTGTCAAATTAAGGTTAAAAAAAAGTATCGCTCACATGCTCTGGATGACTTTTCAGCGGCACTGAAGTGGTGGTTATGAATCTGGTTAAATAAAAGGTGGTTTCCTGTTATTAGCACAATAACCATCTGACAGCCTAAACCAGAGTCTTTACCAAAATAAACAAACACAACTAATTTTTTTTGGCCTGGCAACATGCTAAAATATCAGTGTGATTAGCCGGCAAATCCCATTTTAAGAAACCTTTTTATGACTGGGGACTTCTGCCACTTTACAAATGTATTCCTCTAAGCCCACTAATTCAGTTAGCCTTTTCAATCCATTGTATTATTCTTGGGCCAGCTTCATTTTGCATTAAATCCACTGCAGAAAGCTAAATTGAACGCAAAAATCAGACTTGATCCAGGCTTCCTTTTGTTCAAAGATAGAGACCGAAAGTCCTCTGCTGCTGCCACACACTTTCATCACCAATTTATAGGAACCGACAGTGTAAGGGAAAAGCAATGAAAGTCATTGTTTTGGGACTTCAAAGCATCTCTGTATCTAGGGAAGGAAATCCTTTCAGTCAGCAGTGCTTTCCCCTCCGACTGCAGGTGGGTGAAAAGTTATACCCAACTGGAAGTGCCCCAGAGCCATAGGGATATTAATGACATACAGGGACTATTTAAAGAAAAAAAAAAAGAAGAGTAAGAACACAAGGGCTCTAATGAAGAAAACAAAATGGAAAATGGATGGGTGTGCACTTTAGGCTGAAGTGGTGAACGTTAATAATAGGTAAAACAACCGCATACATCGCATCCTCGTGTCTATTTTTTAGAAGCACTTGTTGTCAAGCACCCAAGTATGTGTGCCTTTAAAGAGTACCACAGCTTAATTTTAATGGAGAAAAAAGAGGGGCAGGTTTGGGAGGGAAGCAAATGCCCGTTACAAGGGAGAGCAGCAGGATGGAGCCTGTGCTGTATTTCTGATTGAAGCGACAAGCTGAGCAATGAGAAGTGCAAAAGGCTTCTTATATCTCTTATGTTAGGCCAATGACACAAGCATCAAGGTTTAAATAAATAAATAAATAAATAAATGAAAATGTTTGATT